AAGCGCGCAGTTCAAATGAAGGAAATTGAAAGTCAGCGGAAAATTCAGGCACCGTCGCGAATATCCATGAAAAATTAACAAAACCTGGAAAATGTGTGATACTTTTGGCGCCATAATTATAGCCACACAAAACACTACAACCGTTGTACCGACAGGGTCCAGTTGCGGTGCCGCTGAATAGAAATAATATATACGACTTCATGGACCGAAACATTCCCACTCATATGACTGTAAACTTACAGCCGCTACTGAGCATACTCGTAGAGCTAACAAGAGAAACAAATTAGCAGAAGCGAAGGAAAAAAAGAAAACGGTCAGAAGATACGAAAAACAGAACTGTTAAGGCCAGTTCCAGAGCAAAATTTATAGAAAGACGAGAACTATAACCCAGGCTGAAACGCACCGGGCGGGCCCGTACATCATGTGTTTTTGCACCGGACTTGAAATACTCAGGTAATTAACTGTATGAATGGTTGTTGCCTTAGACCTATCTTTTGCGGTCGCTAGCATAAATCACCATAAATTTTGCATAAGCTAAATGTGCAATTTTCATTTAACAGTCGTTCTTTAAATGTAACCTAGCTGTTCAGCGAGAAATCCGCCAAAATTTTAAGTGCCCGTGCGTAAGAACCACGCATACCTCAAGCCTGAATTCGAAATAATTAAGTTGTACTTGAACAGGGAACAATCCCTAAAATTTCAGTTTTTTAGCTTTTCTGGTTCCTGAGTTAGTAATTATTCTGCAAAAACTTTCATACGCCCTTACATGAGTACCACGCATAACTGGGGGCTGAATTTGAACTGATTGAGTTGTAATTGAACAGAGAACATCCCCCCAAAATTTCAGCCTTCCAGCTTTTCTGGTCGCTGAGTTAGGAATTTTCCTGCTAAAACTTTCACATTCCTGTACGTGGGTACTCCACGTGCCTGGAAAGCTGAATTTGAAATTTTTAAATTGTACGCAGGCAGGGAACATCCCCCAAAATTTCAGCCTTGCGGCTTATCTTGTTGCCAAGTTAACAGTTCTCCCGCCAGATCGTTCACATATCCGTACGTAGAAATCACGCATGCCTGAGGGCTGGATTTGGAATATTTAATTTTTACTTTGACAGGGGACATTCTTCCAAAATTTCGGCTTTCTAGCTTTTCTAGTTCCTGAGTTAGCAATTTTCCTGCTGAAACTTTCATATGCCTTTACGTGAGTATTCTGGTGGCTGAATTTGAAAAGTTTAGCTAACACATGCACAGGGAACATCTCTACAAAGTTTCAGTCCTTTACCTTGTCTGGTTCCCGAGGTCGCTTTCCCGCCAAAAAATTTGCACATTTTTTAAAAGCGTCCGTACGCAGCACCCAAGCGTCCGCGGGAAATGGTATCAAAATGGGAGGGTCACGCATGGTATGGATACATACTTCCGAAGTTTCAGTCTTCTAGCTTTTCCGGTTCTCGAGTAGAAAGTGGGTGACAAAAAATGCGAACGACACACACACACACACATACACATACACACGCACACAGAGAGCCTCTCCCCAATATGCGTTTTTGCAGTTTGCATATATGCAAAACCGCATAAAGATGAATCAAAAGCGGAGAATTGAGAGAAGCTGAGGGGCTGAAAATTCCAGACAGCAAAGAATTCCGTTCTATCAAGTCTGGAAGTTTTACCTTGGCGCGGCAAATAGCCCAACGCCAAAATTTTCTTGCACTACCGTTGAACGAGCTGCTATTTAAGCAGCTAGCAGGGTTGTAATTCAAACATATGGTTGCTAATTCAAACAGTCAAGACCGCTCGGGCTATCAGTGTGGGTATTTTACGTTCGTGATGTTACTGAAATGCTCCTAGCATGGCTATGCCAGTTCTTTGAATCTGCTTTGTCCAGTGGGACATTAAAATGGAAAATTATGCAACGTTCTGGATGCCAAA